CGTGGCGGGCGACGAGCCGGAGGGCCGTCTGTGCGGTGCGGGGGGGGCTCCGATGCCCCTTATGAGGCTGCGGCGCCGGCGCAATCTTTCGGTTGCCGGCGCAGCTGCCCGGCGGCACGGCCAGGGGGAGGCCCCACAGAACAGTGGCCCACATTTCTTCAATCGCGTAGCGCTGCCCGCCTCTCCGCAAGCGCCGCGGAGCCGAGTGTTATCGGGCGACCGGAGGCGGCTGCAGCGAGCCCTGCTGCCCCGCCCCGCCCCGCCCCCTTCCTCTCATGCAGCAGCCAACGGCGCACTCTGCTCGCGAATTCCGTTAAGACCGACTTCAATTGCCTTTAGCGCAACACTGCAGTCCTTTTATAATTGGTGAGGTTTGCAAGGCGCCTTGCCTTCATCAGTATTTAATATTTTAAATTTTAGAACATTTAAACGTAATAATTACTTTCTGAAATTTTAGTAGAACCTTTGACGCATAATATGTGCGACTGGAATGAAAATAAAAGGGAAAAAGAAGTATTCCCTCCTTAAGGAAAGCACTTCCGGTTGCTCTGTAAAGCATTGGCTCATTTCTTTAAACCTTTTTATGAATGAAGGGAAAAACTAAGCATTTCCTAAACTGATACGCATAAAATTTTTTGAGGCACGTTTCTTGTGCGGTACACTGGTGCGAAAAAAGAAGAGTATAAGAGGGGACGTTTCGAAGCGCCAAGAATAGGTCTCTTCTCGAGGGGAAAATGTCACTCGTGTCGCGGGGACGAGGGAGACACTTCCGCTTTGTCGTCGCTTCCAGGCTCCTGCGCGGCTGCCTTCGGTAACGCGCTCCGCAGCTCATGTTCACACACACCGTCTATAGAATAGCCAAATCCAAACGAGCCAAATCGTTAAGACGAACATTACTTAGGCGTGAATTCGAATTATTCTCTCCAATTTAGTTTTGCTAAGAACTTGAGATACTACTATAGCTACATTGATTACAATGCATTGCAGGATTTATTAGAATTTCGATTGACATTTTTATTCGAGGTTGTAGGTTTCTCTATGCTGGCGTGTGTTATTTTCTGCCAGCCGCCTCCTAGCTTTCGTGCCACGGCGCGCCGGTCTCTCTG